GCAGTCGTCGGGGCACAATGAGCTGGAAAAGGTTGTGGGCACCCCCTGGTGACTGCCATTGGCGGGTAAGTCTGTCCCACTGGGAATAGAGGGTCTTGGTCTCTTTCCACTCTGGGCACTGTTCTGCTTCCAGCCAGCTTAGAACTCAGTACCGGGTCCTGCCTCTGCTCACACTTTAGCTGTTCTTTGGGTGAAGCTTTAGGCCAGCTCTGCGGATAGCTTGGAAGACCTCTCGTAGACCAGACAGGGTGCCATCAAAACTCTTTGCATGTGAGAGGAGATAATCTAGGTAGACGACACACTTGTTCCGAGGAATGTCAGCCAAGACCTTCTCCATCAGGCATTCAAAGGTCGCAGGTGCGTTACATAGGCCAAAGGGCATTACTCTGAACTGCCACAGCCCTTGCCCAATGGTAAAGGCAGTCTTAGGGCGGGCTTCTGGTGTTAGCTCGGCCTGCCAGTAGCCACTCCGAAGGTCGAGGGAGCTGAACCAGCTGGAACCAGTGATGTGATCCAGGGCATCATCTACCCATGGCAGAGGGTAAGAGTCTTTACAGGTAATGTCATTTAAGTGGCGGTAGTCGACACAGAACCGCCAAGAGTTGTCCTTCTTTCTCACAAGGACAGCTGGGTCCGCCCACGGGCTGCTTGAGGGCTCGATGACACCTGCTGCTCCTTCATCTTTTCTTCTGCCACTGCATACTTGGCTAATGGTAGACGACGTGGACGGAGGCGGATAGGACGGGCCTTGCCAGTGTCTATGCCATGCTGTACCAAGCTTGTGTGTGTACAGTCCTTGTCCTTGGCAGCAAAGATATTGGAGAAAGTCTTTAGCAGCTCCTGTAACTGACGTCTCTGTTCCTCATCCAGACCATTACAGCTCCGCTGGTACAAATCCTCTACGGCTTGCCTCATCTCAGCAGAAGGAATTAGCAGTGGTGAGGGTGAATTTAATGTGTTTTGTACCAGTTGTGGTGTGGGTGTGTACTTTTGTGATGGGGACAGCGTGGAGACAACCCTAAGACCCTGGCCTTCAGCAGGGTGGAGAGCCACAGAAACAGAACCCATGTGGAGTATGGATCTAAACACATCCACTGTGGCCTCTCATTTAGTCAGTAG